CTATATCAAAACAGGAGGGAGAGGACAAAAACTAGAGGATATAAAGTATGTTGTTGAATGTTTAAGTTATGTTACAGAAGTCTAAGAAAGAATTATAATCAAGTTAGTGTTCTGAAGCTGGTTTTGCTATCTTTAAATGTTATATACAGTAAAACAACTAAAAGAGAGAAGCCTCTTCAACTAGTCTAGACGGGGCCTCACATAATTGTAAAGTTAGCCTGTAGGTCTGTCTCACTAAAGTCAAACAGACTGCTTTCACAGGGGCCTTGGTCTGTAAGGATAGGCAAGGAGGGTCCTTTGTGAGGGTCTTTTGTGATGGTACTTCAGACACCAGAGAGCAGCAGCCCTGCTCTAGTTACTCCAGAGACCCTAACTTTCCTTTCTCTTATAGGATATAATAATTCAATTTTAGCCACTGCACCTTCTATTCACCCACCTAAGTTACTTTCTGTTTGCCCAGCCTCAGCAGAATATTCCTAGAATGACAATTCCTCACAGTCCAGTTTTCCAAACTGGACCCCCTGTGTTTTTCCTAGATACATGGTTTGTTATTTCTTAAATAATTTTGCCTTCTCTTTGTTTGACAGATTCCCACATTAACGAATTAACTCTCAATGTCTCCACTGCCTTGTTTAAACAGGAACAATTTAACCAACAACTGGCTGACAGAGTCAATGCCCTAGAAGAAGTAGTTTTATATTTAGGACAAGAAATTCAAAATATTAAGGTCCAGTTGACTACTGCCTGTCATGCTGATTATAAACGGATCTGTGTTACTCCTTTACCTTACAATCACACACAAATTACCTGGGAACAAATCCAATCTCCCCTCAGAGGAGCCTTTAACCACTCTCTCACCATAGACTTACAAAAATTACAGGTTGACATTACAAAAATTTCTAAATCCCATTTGAACTCCATAACACCCTCTAATGTGGCTAATGGAATTGTGTCCTCCTTATTTGGTGCAGTCACCACTTCCAAACACTCATTCTCTATGTTATTTTATTTGGTCAGAGGTCTTTTTGGGCTTATCTTCCTATGTTGGTTTTGCTTTCCAGTTATCCTCAAACAATTCCGTTCTGCCATTACATCAATACAAATGGAAATTTACCTCTTCACACTTCAAAATAAAAAAGGGCGAGATGGAGGAGTCCAACCCGGCGGGGCTCCAGGACCCATCTGAGCCCTTTGACCTTTGAGCATTGCTTCCGGTAGGTTCAGTAAGATGGCAAGGCCACGACTGTACGCCCCCCCGACCTTGGAACAAGCTTGGGTCACTTAGCATGTTGGCAAGGCCGCTTTCTATTCGCTCCGGGACTGTGATAGCCTTGCTGAGGAGTGACCTCCCTCTGACTCCCCAATATACTACTATAAAAGAATTACATAGCTCCCTCATAAATCTTAACTGTGTGGTAAGATTTCCTGAAAAATCCCCCGACCGCTCCCCTTTATCCTGACCACTTACTGTTAATTACAGCACTTCATTGGGCACAATAGAGGGTGTGCTAAGTTCTTCTTGATCTTTGGAAGGCCCTTCAAGACACATTTAATATAAATAATCATTTTAA